GGTTTCTTGCAGAGGAGATCATCAAGCAATAATAGTAAGTTACCAACTACGAGACCAATTACTACGGGGGATTTGGGGGCGGGGGGGCTGTGCCGGTCCCTTCTCCCCTTTTGGAAAGTAACAAAAATATAAAAAAAAAAAGAAAGAAAGAACAAGAAAAAATTGATTGCCCAAAATGCCTCAGAGGTTATTTTCGGACGTCGAGTAACACAAATTTTGCAGGGGAATGCCCCAAGGTGTTATCTCAATTAGCCCCTCTTTTCGACATCTCTGGATCCACCCCTGTACAAAGTAGTACTGTTATATATAATGTGTGTAAGTAAGAGTTGTGTGTGTGGATGTGACTCAAGTAATATTATACTGAAATCACTTGCATTATATAGAAATTATACTCTTGCAAGTTGGTGCATACTTCGGGTGATAGCATCATGTGACCCATGTTTTGAATTGTGCCAAATTGCAAATCCAATACTTCATAGTTTTACAAAACAGATCCCTTTCAAATCGCAGCATTCACCCAGTGTCTGAATTGTTGAACCCAGATTGGGATTATGGTAGTTTATAATTACCGTATATACTCGTGTAAGGTGATCTTTGTATAAGACAACCCCCGAGTTTGATAAGGTTTTTGGACGATTTTCGTATGTCAGGCATATAAAGATGACCTCCCCTAGGATTCCTACTTTGCTGTTTTTTATGGTCTTGATACTGCATCTAGCTGGAGCCAGATGAAAAAGGGCTAATCTTCCAAATAATATTGTTATATGGGCTTTTTAAATGTTCATAGAAAAACTTATTTCCCTGAATTTATAATTACATTCAATCATACTACAGTAACAGTATCTTCATTTCAATAAATTCAGTGTTATGGACGATCTGCACATAAGATGAACATGATAAGACAATCCCCGTTTTCCTATTTTAAGCCTCGTCTTATACGTGCGAATAAAATGGTACCGTAAATGCTCGAATAAGCACCGCTCTGGAATAAGAGCCGCTCTCAAATAAGCGCCACACCAAACCTGATTTTTTTTAGCCAAGCGCCGCTCTCGAATAAGTGCCATAATGAAACACTTGGAGAAACAGGGTTCAGGGTTTTAAATACAGTTATACAGTGTTAAAATGTATAAATAACACAATGAAGACACAAGCATTTCTCTATAAACATTTTTTTACGATGACGTAGGACCTATGATAGCCCTACTGAACTACAGGAATATGTGATCTATGTAATAAGGGAACAGGCATTTTTTATATGCGCGCTCTCGAATAAACGCTGCACTTGAATAAGTATTACAGCTTCTATGTCAGATATACCAAAGGTGTCATCAATTTTTTGTTTATAGAGAAAGACGGAGATGATTACTGATGAAATGATTATGTTCATCAAAGGGAAATTGCCTAAGTATTGGAAGGATTTTGCCAGAACACTTAAATTAAAAGCTGAAGTTATTGAAGAAATTGATGTAAACTTTGGCCACATTGGCAATGTATTGGAAGCTGTTCATCAAATGCTGGTTAAATGGCGTCAAAGTAATGGAAAAGATGCTACTACAGATAGCTTGCTCGAAGCTTTAGAGAAAATGGAGCGCAAAGACCTAGTCGATGAATTTTGTGATGAGTTCAAATTATTTAGCAGTTCTTCTGGTACGATTTTTCTATCTTTATTGATTATCATGATTTCAAGTAATTCATCGATTCTTTATTGTCTTTTTTAAAAGGAAAACAGAAATGTGTTTATGCTACAAAGCAAATTTTTGATCTACTCTCCTTGATGTGACTGTTTATGCACTTTAAAAACTCGCCAGTGAAGTTATTCTAGTTGTTAGTTATCTACACAGCAACGCAACTTCGCTCACGCTTTTGTAAACTTCACAAACATTCGCTTGGAGTGGTTAGATGATTTGAAAAAAATTCTTTCGTTATATATATAAATTTATTATTGAAAAGTATTGCAAGAATCGTTATTTTTATCAATCATTTAAACAAATGCCAAAAGAAACTTGTCTGAACTGGTATATCACTTAGGCCTTCCAACATGGTGTCGGTGGCCTCACTTTTTTCTGTTACAGGGATTGGCTATGAGCAATTCAGCTATTATAGTGGAGATCATTGGCAGTGGGTGCCTGGCTTTAGTGGGAGTGCTAGCTCACAAAAATATAGTGATATGAGGTGATTTTCATCTACTTAGAACATAATTTTTTTTGCCTCAACCATTTTTAAGGGAGGGGGAACAACTTTTTTAAGGGGGGCATACACACCCCCTAGATATGGCACTGGTATTCAGATATCTTGTCTGCCAAAGTAGTAGTGGTGATTTTTTAAATGGTAGGGACTACAGTAGTAGACACATTTTGTAACTTTTCATTTATTTTTTCAGAATCTGACAAACCTTATGCAGAACAAAATGATAGTGTTGTCCCTGAGACCAGACTACTACAAGAGCAACATCAACAGAGTGGTAATCATATTTCATTTATTTATGCATATTTACATATTTTGTGAGGGTGGTCAATTCATCTGGTCAACTGGGTTAACCAGATGGGTCACTCAATATATAAAATGCAAGATGTGAAGATAAAAATTAAACTTAGACTTACGAAATTGACTAATTTATAATATGTTTATAATAAAGGGAGAGAAATTGCACCTCTTTTTGACCTGCCAAGCATTACGCATTTTCACAAGAAATTACACATTCACTGGGGTCCCAAGTTTTCTAGTATATATTAATTGTTTTTTGCTGAGCATAGTGATACCCATAATAATGATAATAATATTTGTAAAAATAATATTTATTCGGACTTGTACTTCTACAACTGCAGCACACTTTGTTTTTGCCCTGTGAGTGAGGGGCTGGGCCTGTCTGATAAAGGGGTGGGGCTGGAGGTTGTGGTTGGGGTCTGAATATTGGGGTTGAGGCTAAAGCTTTTCCCTTGCTGACACTACCAAGGTTAAAATAGATGTTTTAATTTGATATATAAATCAATAATTATCTTGACATTGAATTGTGTCATTAAAATATATATATTGGTAATGGTATGCTCCAATTATTTTAAATACTCCACACTAATTGTAGGAGATTTACAAAATACAGTAAATATAATAGTTTAAATGTTAATTTAATTCCTACCAAATTTAATCAAAGGCATTTCAATTTAACATTGGTGTAATTGAAAAATGAACATTATTAATTTTTTTTGTTATTGCTGAGTCAAATTGCGAGTCTTCAGATAGAACTAATTTGTCTGAGATGAGTACCTAGTCCTATAACTATCCCCAGTACTATTGATATATGTATTTTATTTATTTTCAGTCAAACATCAAAGTGAGCCTGTACAGTCCAATTTTGAGAAATTTTTTTCTGACTTCATGCTCGACTCAACAGCTGCGGGTAAGAAAGAGTTCAGAAAAGATTTGAATCGCCTGAACAACTTCAAAGGAGAAGAAACTAAAAGCATTGCATCTGAAATGGAGTGGAATCCAGATAAGCTTGATTCAGTGAGTGACAATTCTTAATATATATATATATATATAATATATATATATAAAAAAAAAATATATATATAAAGTATAATATGGCATTCATGAAATTTGTGGAAGAAACATACATTGATGCCAGAGGGTCCTCTAATGAAGTGGAATATACATTGAATTTGATTTACTATTCTTGTTGCTAAGCAATTTAATCTCATATTTCTCAGGAGGTAAATGAAAATTTTAAAGTATATAATGTCCTAGACAAATGGGCTGGTATACTTTTGATTGAGAACCCACTAATCACAAAAGTTATGAAGAGGAGTAAAATTCAAGAGATGGTACGAAGTTTGCGGAGCGGAAATGGTTCCAGAGAAGATGTCATTTCTGAAATACGCAACCATCTTTTAGTTGGCACTGTTGGTGAGTTTTAAAACCAATTTGTTTATTTACTTTGAAAACAAAATGCAATAGTACATCACCTCATGCTCATGGGGATTTATAATCAGTTTTATTATCCTTATTGAATTCCCAACTTTATTATTTTTAGATTCTATTTTGAATAAATGTTGCAGCTTTTAACTGAAAGTAGGCCTACAAAATTGTACTTCGGCGTCCGTTTGCTGGGCTCCAGTAGCTTCCACCAAGGATAAGCCTATGGCTCCCCTACCGTGCACTGCTAAGTTGGCGGCGCTACCTCAAGTAAGGAGGTGCGAATTTTCAGGGGAACAACAACAGAACAACTTAACTACAGAAATTTAACTACTGAGATTAACAAATAAATAATAATTATTAACTATGAGAAAGTTAACAAAGATTGAAGAGATAAGCCTTCAAATTCTTTTTAAGTACAAGGAGTGAAGGGGCCTCACGAAGATCAGCTGGTAATGAATTCCACAACTTTGGGGCATCTACAGAGAACGCCCTGTCGCCGTAGGTCTTGAGACATGATGTGGGAACTGATAGTATAGACGTGTCAGTGGTTGATCTCAGAGACCGAGAACATGTTGCAGAAAGAGACTTCAATAGTTGAACAATGTATTGTGGAGCATTGGTCTTGAATCATACTGCATCTAGCTGGCTAAAAAACGGAGCCAAATGTAGGGCTTTTGAATGATCATCAAAATATTACTTTGAATATTACAAAATTTTGTTTGTGTTGCGCCTATAAGACGACCCCCTTTTTTTTGTTCGTAGTTTGCTATTGTAAACCTTGTCTTATATGCGAGAATATACAGTATAGTAGAAAATTATCTGTTTTCTACTGTATTTGTGGAACCAGATGAATTTCTTTGAGGATATGCGGTATGTTTCAAATAGTGACAGTAAAATTTGAATTTGAACACTTTTTTTTTTTCAGGTACAAAAGTAAAACCAACCACCCAGTATACAGAATTATCTTATAGTATTAGACTCAAAGTTGCCTCAGAACTTACGTTGCTTGGCGAAAGTAAGTAACATTCTTCATAATATTAATAATAATAAGAATGATAATAACAGTATTTATAATGTTCTCATATCCACAGCCATAATCATTAAATATGCTTGATAAAAAAGAAGGCAAGTAGGTAATGATAATCATATAGGATGTTAAAATATGATTTTTTTTCCCTACTAATTCATTTTTAAGATTCCGTCCACGGGTATTTTTGGGTTATTAAGAAAAAAAGAAAAAAAAAGAAATAGAAAATTATAAAATAACCTGACTGGAAAGTACTAATTAGAAACATGAGCAGAGCAGCTGAGATGGGGATGTTGAATTGACTTCTCGGTGAAACGGCAATATCATCACCATCAAGCCAAACATGAAAATTGTGTAAAGGAATTAACTGCTTAAATGAATTTTGCTGGAACTTGTAATTTGCTGGTTAAATCCAAACAAAGGGAACACCCATTCACTAACTTGTTTGGTGTTTTTTTGCAGAGTGTTCTCTGGTTGCTGAAGGCCTTGGTATTGAGAACAGCTCGATTCGATATTTAATTAATAAACACGATCGCGGCCAACAGGTTCTACGATCATGGGAAACAAAAGCTAATGCCACAGTGGGAACACTTTACAATGTTTTAATTGATCATGATGCATGCACAGCTGCTTCCATGCTCGAATGAAACCTGAGAGCAAAACCAAATAATGTTTGCTCTACCTCTGACATGTTATTGTACTGAATGTTCAGTACGTTCCCAAAAGTGGGTCAGGTGGAATCAAACTCACGACCTCCAGATAGCCTACTGATCACCAAGCTTGAGCTTAGCTAGAGACTAGTGATGAATCCTATCCCCAAGTAGCAGCGGGTACTGCAATGCTATCCAATGGCGTTTTTGCGTCAGGAGAGATAATATGAAATAGCACATCAGGTAGAACAAACATTATTACGTATTATTTCTCCTGATACAAAAAAAGACCATTGGAATTAAGAGCAATACGTAAGTTTATTGGCAGCAATATTATATTATTGGCAGCCATGCGTGGATTGCTACAAACCAATCTTTAAAAAATTTAACTGGTTGATTATGACTCACAAAAACCCCCTCTATAATGAATACTGGTTGCTAGGTTAGTATAATGTATTATTTGATGACACCCTTTGAACATTCCAACAACGAGAATGACTGGTTAAGGCAGAGGTGCCGCAAACTACAGCCATAATATCGGTTCTGATTCCAGTGTCAGGCTTGCCTATGTTTCTGGTGGTGGAACAGTCTTCATATATAAGGACTATAGAGACTGTAGGCCCAGTGTACATGATTGATTTATGTGCACTTTAAAGAACCCAGTACATCTTTTTGAGACAAAAAGTAGGGGTTACCCCGGTGAACTGGTCCATACAGCCACTGTTGTCCTGCGGTTATGAATCCTTAAGGTTTGCAGGATGTGTCTTTGTAGACTAAATAATATATGGAATTTCTTTATGATGTCAAAACAATCTAGTTTTTTCCTATAGATATTTTACTAACAGAAGGCCCTAAATGTATTAATAACAGTGGTATTTTATTTAAGTGTCCAATTGGATAGGATAATATTTAATTTATATATGAAATAAATGGGTGTATGCAATTATAAGTTCACAAATTAACTTTTATTCTCAATGCAGTTGCAAAAATTGACCTTTATTTAAACACAAAATTTGATTATTTACTTAAGTCCTAGTTTTAGCTGTGCACCTATTTAACGAGTGTTTTTATATTTTTTTCTAGTTCCAGATTTCTCTTACAATCCTAGCACTTTTTGTTACGGAAAGGTTTACTTAAAAATGATGACGGAAGTCTCACTATGGTTATTTACAATGTCGAAAATTTACTAAAACATTTTAATTTATGTTTTAAAGTACAAAAACTACATTGAAATAATAATAAATTGAGTATTGTTTATTAGAATAAAATGCGTTTAAAAAACGTAGTTGTAAGTATTAAATTTGTGATTTGAAGTGCAATTATTCATGTTTTCATCATAATTCTTTGTACTTTATAATGCATTCCAGATATGACTGATGTACTTATGTAAATGAAATAATGTCTACATTGCAACAAATCACAGAGAGAATATTAATATTTTATTACTGACCTAAGGATTAATTCTGATTCAAGAATTTACTCATGATATAAAGCTTCCGATTTGCACATTGACTTAACCCTAGAACGGATTCACTCATCCGTGACTGTCCTGCTTTTGCACAATATAGAGATTCAGGGCAAATTGCTGTTGGGCGTATTTGACTGGTCGTTTTTCGAGGAGTGATTTACTACTCGGAGTGTGCTCGTTAAAAAACAGCGAGGAGTTCAAGTCGCTCATGTGAGGAGTTTGTGCTGCTCGTGCGACCAGTCGAATACGACAAAACAAAACAAAACAGACCAGTCGAATACGCCTATTACATCCAGATCCTGCTACCGTCACCGTGCATTTCAAAGCTCTCTCTTAGCACACTGATACTTTAATCAAACTTATTAGTTGAACAAAGACTTAGAACCTGTATCTGCTGACATTGTATATCTAGGGATCCATTTTGAACAAATTTCTATTTTATTTAATTGTATGATTCATAGTAAAATTTACATGATTTTGTTGTGCAATTTTGGTAAGATTTTACCCTGCTAAGTTTTTCTAATTAGCATAATTATAGACTTTAGCTTCTTTTAATGTGTCTTTATAATGTTTAATTTTAGCTGTAAGATGGCTTTATATCCCTACTGAGATTCTTATGGTTCTAATTTAATCACTTATTTCAACATGTCTTTATAAAATACATGTTGAACCGCCACTTGAGAGCTGATGAAGGTACCCTAAAGGCACCGAAAGCTATAGATATACAGTAGTGAGAAAGATATAGTCATTGACTCTGAAAGGTAACATTTTTCTATTTTGATCATGTTATGAGGAATAAACTTATAAATCTTTTATATGTTAGTAATTTCTAATATGTTCGTTTTTGCATTAATCAAATGTCTTCAGTGTGTATGTTTTTTATCAGCAACATGAAGTGCTTGCTAAATGGTACAGTGGTAGTAGTCTTACAACAACAAAAAAAATCAAGACAGTCACAGCCACTTCTTTGTGTCCTTAGCTGAGGCGCTTCATTTCTTAGATACTTTTCTTTCAATCTCCCAGCAGGTAAATGGTTAGGCCTACCTCCTACTAAGCCTTCTGAATTCTGCGCGATACTCATTGGCCACTCCCGAACCAAACTCGCGCACATCGTTCAGATTCAAATCCGTTTTTAGTACTTTTTCTTGGCAATTAACAGACAAACCAATAACATTGGCAAAATTCGAAGAGCGTCTTATGCGATTAAGCATGCTGAAATCGTGGTGAAAATTGCGTAATTTATTTGGAAAAGACAAGCATTTCATCATCCAAACACCTTTGAAAGAACCGACCGTTATTTTTGGTAAGAGAATTGTACAGTATATTTTTATATAAATAACTGGCGTAGAAAATATTGGAATGAATTTATTCGGTACACCAACGATAACCCACAAAAAGTTTAAAGATGTGTTGGAGTCCTTGTGGTGGTGATTCAGCAGGGGTGAAGCCTGTGGGGTGGGGCACTTCCAGTCTTTTTATACAGACTTTCCCAGCCATTATAAATGGGCTGTTGCTGGTACTGGTATAGGCATTAATGAACCTCTTCCTTGCGGTTGTAAAGCTCAGTTATTTTCCCTGATCATTGGGCCCACATGCTTTAAAGCCCCATTCCCGGCAAAATTTCACTAAAAACTGACTTTTTTTAGAAAATATGCATTTGCATTATTCCAATTATTATAAATCATGAAAAAAAGAGAAATACAGACTATTTCTCATAAAATATTACCATTTTCTCGACGAATTCATCGTTACTAGGCAAATTCAGAGGTTGTAGATCGCATCCAATGGAATACTCTCGCATACTCTCGTATACTTTATACAGTCAATAAAGTGCGCCCTCTCTAAAGAGATTAGTTTTTGTACTTCGCATCTCACACAATGAGGTCGTTCGGTTAGGCTGAGATATGTTTGTTTAAGTGTCAAAATCTCAGTCAGAATCAGTTTTTTAACAAATTTGAAATAATTCCTATGAAATATTATATTTCACAAGTGTCAATACTAGCAACG